GCCTCGGTGCTGTGCAGCCTGCTCTGGGTGACCCTGCTTCGGCAGGGGGTTGGGCTGGGTGACCCACAGAGGGCCCTTCCAACCCTACCATTCTGTGATTCTGTGAAAGAGTGGTCAGGCATTGGACCAGGCTGCCCAGGGCAGTGGTGGAGTCCACATCCCTGGAGGCGTTCAAACGTATAGATGTGGCACTTGGGGACATGGTTTAGCAGGCGTGGTGGTGTTCGGGTGACAGTTGGCCTTCATGATCTCAGAGGTCTTCTCCAACCTTAGTGATTCTGTGATGAAATAAGGTTAACTGTTAAACAACAGAGAAAAAAGTTCCTGGAGTGTTGTTTGTACGTAGGGTTATCTGGAGCTTGTCAGCACCGCTCTGGCAGCGAAGCAGGTGTGTACGAGAAGGAAAGCAGCCCTTGCTGGAGGAGCTTCTTGCGGGCGTGCTGGTGGGATTCAGCGTAGCCCTGTGGGCTGGGGACATGAAGCACGCTTGCTCCTGCCTCCTGGGAGCCCGAGCGAGGTGATCTCTAAGCCCAAGGTCCACGTCGGCTTGCAGCCAGCATGAGAACCGCAGCAGAGCGTCGGAGGCGGCCCCCGTCCCGCGATAAGGAAATATTCCGGGGTCAGGAGAGCCGCGCCGCAGAAGGAGACGATTTCTCACACACCCCTTCCACCTTAATTTCAGATCCTGGAGAAGTGCCCTGCCAGGACGGAGGAGGACTGAGAGGAGGGAGAGGGCCCAGAAGGGACAAAGCAGAAGGGAGTTTTTCTGGAGCCGTGTGGGAAGAGGAGGGGTGTGCAAAGTAGGGTTGCTAAATACTGTTATCACATGTCACAATTGCATAATTTTATTTCTTCTTATTCAGTATCGGTCGCGGATTCAAACCGGAATTAATCCTGTCTGATTAGAGACTTGGAGAAAGGTCAGATCAGGGTTGCGTGTGACAACGTGATCGCCAGGCAGCACGGAGTGCAGAGCCCCAGCGCTCGCCGCGGCAGCAGGCGGCTCGGGGGGCTGTGGGATAACCTGGATCTTGTCATTCCCGGTTAATCCCCGAGCTCAGTTCTTCGGTGCTCGCTTCTAGCTAAAGTTTTGATCAGCTGGCTTTGGGCATAACGTGTCGTGGGTGTTTGTGTCCTCAGTCTGGTAGGTTAAAGGGTTCACCTTCACCCTCCACGGCTCCTAAAAGCTGCTAGGAGGGAAACCGGGTCGGAATGGGGTGTCCGATTTCTGCAGTCCCGGGCTCAAGCTCGTAAGCTCTGTTAAAAGCAGAGTGGAAGAAGATTCAGTCCGTAAAATAAACAGTTGAAAACTGAAATGCCAAGCTGGCAGTGGGACGTGAAAGCTTGGAGGAGACAAAAAAAGCGAAATAAACCACAAAAATAAACGCTCGATTCGACGCTTTGCATTTTCTCCCTCGTTTGGCACCGGTGCGTGTGCGTTACGCAAGGTTTCTGTTACGCGGCGATGGGTTTGCGTCTGTACCCCGGGTCCCCCCGGCGCTTTGAGCTGGCCGTGCTGCATCCCGCGGGACGCGGTTCTCCTGGTCCCTCCAGCCCCGCTGCGTCACTTGACGCGGTACCAAAAATGCGAGCAGCCAGCACGGGCCAACAAAACTGCTGAGAACCTGTTGAGGACCTCGTGTTTCTCCGGACGGGCGTGTGTTGTTAATTAACGGCAATTACCAGCGTGTGTATGTTCAGGCAGCAAGCTGTGTTTGTTCTGGGGCATGTGCTGACGCACGAAGGCCGGTGTTGACTGAGTAACTGGTTGATTATGGGCAAGGGAGAGCAGGGCCTGTCTTACTTTGCCCTCTACCTGCAGCTGGGCAGAGGAGCGAGGGATGAAAGACGAATGCAAGGATCTCTCCTTGTCTGCTCTCTTCCACATGCCTTTTCCCGAGACACTTAGCTTTGTTCCCATCTCCCCATATGCTAAACCCACTGCGGTTGCCTTTCCTCCCAGTCAGACCCTTTGCCATGAAGGAGTTGACGCCAAGTGGTGGTCTCTTGCAGGAGAAAAACCAACCAAACAAAAAGGCTGCGATGGACGGGGGCAACGGGCACAAACTGAAGCAGAGGAAGTTCCAGCTGAACAGGAGGAAGAACTTCTTCCCTCTGAGGGTGACGGAGCCCTGGAACAGGCTGCTCAGAGAATCACAAAATGGCAGGGGTTGGAAGGGACCTCTGTGGGTCAGCTAGTCCAACCCTTCTGCCGAAGCAGGGTCACCTACAGCAGGCTGTAGAGGACCTTGTCCAGGTGGGTCTTGAATATCTCCAGGGAAGGAGACTCCACAGCCTCCCTGGGCAGCCTGGGCCAGGGCTCCGTCACCCTCAGAGGGAAGAAGTTCTTCCTCCTGTTCAGCTGACCATTCTGTGATTCTGTGACGGCCTCTTCACCCCCTTGTCCGTGTTTCTGTTCCTCACCCCGGCGCCGCTGTTAGCGCGTCGGCGAGCTTTATTCTGCTCCATGAACGGACGTTTGTGAAGGTCGCAGAGCTTCAGCGAGGGCCGTCTGCCGGGGCTGAGCGTCCCTGCGGAGGGAGGCGTGCAGCTCCGCGACCAGGCGGCGTTCTGAACCGGCTGGCGAAGCTTCGTTTCTCGCGCCCTGGCAAGCTCTCTGCCCACTCTTTTAGGCTCGCCCAAACGGCTTCCCAATCGGATCCTACCGGTGATTTCCAGGCTCTGCCTACTCCGGTGTCGCAGATTTCGGGACGTGGGGAAACCACCCAAAGAGTCTAAGATGGGTTGGGGCTTAACGACGCGTCCCTGGGTACTCTACACCCAGCGTAAGCCGGAGCTGACGGGGTTGCGCTGAGGAAGAGAGGAATTCCCGGCCACCCAGCCCAGGCTCTGTCTGGAGCTGATGCCGGGAGGGAGGACTCCTGGCTTTCTCCAGCCCCCAGGTTATTCCTGACTGCGGTAACAAAGCAGGTGTCAGGCACGCATCCTGCGCCAGTGCCTCATCTACAGTGGGGCATATTGGTTTTTTAATAAGAATTTTTAATAATAAATAGGGTACTGATGCTGAATTTGTTGGCAATGTTTTAAGAATTTATTTAGAAACTGTAAGACAGCATAAACTCATATGTTTTGTTTTCCAAAAGGGTAATAATAATAACAATTATAATAATACACAAAGTTTTAGTCGGACCAAAAGACAAAAAGCAGTTTGTTTCCAATTCAAAAAATACAAACGTTTGCTACCGGTAGAAAATTATAAAAAGTTGGTATTTTCCTCCCGACCTGGTGACAGACACATACGGCGGAGATGTACAGTTCACCAGCTCCCAGTCCGTCCAAGCGGTGGGAAATGCCGATAAAGAACAAAACGGTGAAGAAGAAAACACAGCAACAGCTTCTCGTCGCTCATTTAACCAGAAGTGACCACCGTTCTCTTCTTCCTTCGCGCTTTTTTGGTTGCCAACATTTAAATTAGTGTTATTCATGCTTCATACAACAATCAGAAATAACAGCAGGTTTACCTCATGCATTTATTTTTAATATTCATCACATAACGTCTTCTCACCATGCTACCTAGGACGGTTAGGGTTTTTACTGACAACATTTAAGGGAGGTGGAGGAGGAAGGAATGCAGTCGGGGCCCAGGAATATT